GTACGGTGCACAGCGCTGTGGCTTAAATGAAAATGATTTAACACAGTTGTTTATACTTTTAGCAGCTCTTTTTATTCCACAGCTGACCTGCTAAAATGACAGATTTTCTTTTCTGGATCTCTGACAAACGGACTTCAATCTCTGAACTCGTAAAGTTCTTCTTTTTAGATTTCGCTGTCATTTTTCATGAATGGACACTTCCTTGTATCTGAGGCAGGAATCATAGCCTTATATGGTGTTTTTGGGGTGGTAATTATGCTAATCTCCTCTTGCGTGCACGAGCAGCTGGATACGAATAGGTGGAATTTACACAGCTCATTTACACACTTTTCCTGAAGATAGAAGAGTTTGTTGAATCTGACGTGGCATGTTCGTACGAACCCTTTGTACGAACAAAAGTAAGAGAAACTTAGGATAAGAATACGAACATGTTCTTGCATGAGGCCCAGTGTGCTCAAATGTGGCTGAACTAAAACCTACAGATCTCAAGCTTAAATGACACAATAAAGAAGAGTTGGCTCTGAAGTCATGTCAATCTGATAACTTGTTAACATGTTCTTTACGTAAGGGTGGATGGACCTGACTGAACCAGGAGAGAAGACAAAGACAAACAAAAAACAGTAAGATGGATAGACAAAACAAACTTACATGGGTAACCAAAGTGAAATTGGAGCTTGTGCACATGACAGGTACCATCTCACAAAAACTGTGTTATTTTGACAGAAAATGAGCCATACAGAGGCACTGAAGGGGAGAAAAAAGGGAGTGTGTGCCACATGGTGATGCTTAGGAAAAGTGTCTCTATCTACACTGCACTGGAGGAAGGGAAGGAGAGGTTGGTGTGGTGGTGAGGAGTTAAATTTCAGAGGCATCTCTCTCATTAAAGGCCATAAGGATGACCGGTCAAAGGTCAAATAAAACACACGACGGACACTAACAGAGGAGAACATCACACTTGCTTTTTGTTTACTGAACCAAAATGTTTTGTGCACTAAACAAAAATGGGAAAAACACATGACTTTTGATTTATTTTGTATTGTTTTTGAGATTAGTGGCCTGACCTGGAAGTTCTCTCTCTCTTTAATTAGCGGTGCGGGTCAAACATTCTAAACATTTTATGATTACTTTTTAAAAGTTTCATTAAAATCTGTCAACTGGTTCATTAAATATTTTGCTAACAGACAGATATTCCAACATTCAAAGAAGCAAAAACATTATTGCCTGAGACTTTAAGACAAAGGGGCAGGCAATCATGAATGTGATGAATGTGATAGTTAATACAAACTTAAGTAAGCAGCATGAGCATGTGTGTGTGTGTGTGTGTGTGTGTGTGTGTGTGTGTGTG